GCTGCTCTTGATCCACTCATCTCCCAGCCTCTATCTGTGCTCAGGATTGCCTCAATCCAGGTGCAGGACCTTGCACTTGGGCTGGTTGAACCTCATGAGGTTTGCATAGGCCCACCTCTCCAGCCTGTGAAAGTCCCTCTGAATGGCCTCTCTTTTCTCCAGAGCGTCAACCACACCACCAGCTTGGTGTTAGCAAACTTGCTGAGGGTGCACTCAATCCCACTGTCCACGTCACTGACAAAGATGTTATACAGCACCAGTCCCAATACTGACCCCTGAGGAACGCCACTCGTCACTGGTCTCCACTTGGACATTGAGCTGTTGACCACACCACTTTGAGCGCAACCATCTAGCCAATTCCTGATCCACTGAGTGGTCCATCTGTCAAATCTATGTCTCTCCAGTTTAAAGACAAGGATGTTGTGCAGGACAGTGTCACTGCTTCGCATAAGTCCAGGTAGATGATGTCAGTTGCTCTTCCCTTATCCACCAACGCTGTAACCCCATAGTAGAAGGCCACCAAAATTGTCAGGCATGATTTGCCCTCCGTGAAGCCATGTTGGCTGTCACAAATCAACTCCTTATTTTCCATGTGCCCTAGCATAGTTTCCAGGAGGATCCTCTCCATGATCTTGCTGGGCACAGAGGTGAGACTGACTGGCCTGTAGTTCCCTGAGTCTTCCTTTTTTCCCTTTTTAAAAATGGGGGGTATATTCCCCCTTTTCCAGTCAGTGGGAATTTCACCAGACTTCCATAACTTGTCAAATATGGTGGATAGTGGCTCAGCCACTTCATCCACTAGTTCCCTCAGGACCCATGGGTGCATCTCATCAGGTCCCATGGACTTGTGCACGTTCAGGTTCCTTAGATGGTCTCAAACCTGATCCTCTCCTACAGTGGGTGATTCTTCATTCAGGCCAGTCCCTGCCTTTGTCTTCTGTGTCCGGGGCAGTGTGGCTGGACCACTTGCCAGTGAAGCCTGAGGCAAAAAAGTCAGCTGAGTATCTCAGCCTTCTCCATGTCCCAGGTAACCAGGTCTCCTGTTTCCTTCTGGAGAGGGCCCACATTTTCCCTAGTCTTCCTTTTATCACAGACATACCTATAGAAGCTTTTCTTGTTGTTCTTGATGTGCCTGGTCAGATTTAATTCTATCTGTGCTTTGGTTTTCCTATCCTGATCCCTGGCTTCTTGGACAATTTCTCTGTATTCCTCCCAGGCTACCTGTCCTTGCTTCCACCCTTTGTAGGCTTCCTTTTTTTGTTTGAGTTTCTACAGGATCTTCTTGTTCATCCATGCAGGCCTCCTGGCATTTTGCCTGACTTGCTTTTCATTGGGCTCTTCCTGAGCTTGGAGGAGGTGATCCTTGAATATTGATCAGCTTTCTTGGGCCCCTCGTCCCTTCAGGACTGTATCACATGGTACTTTGCCCAAGCAGTTCCCTGAAGAGGCCAAAGTCTGCTCTCCTGAAGTCCAGGCTAGCGAGCTTGCTGTGTGCCTTCCTCACCGCCCTCAGCGTCTTGAACTCCACCATCTCATGGTCACTGCATCAAAGGCTGCCCTTGAGCTTTACATTCCCCACCAGCACTGTCTTGTTGGTGAGAACAAGGTCCAGCATAGCTCTTCCCCATGCCCTCCAGCTGGTCATTGACACAGAGGGTGACACCCTTTCCTCATCTCATCTGCTTGTCCTTCCTTTCCTTGGGGCTAATTGTGAGAGCCAGGGCAGAGACCAATTCCTGATTGAGAAGGAGACAGATGAATTGATCTGTGTCTTTCTATCAGCTGACATGGCTGTGATTCCAAACTTCACGGTGCCACAGATGGCTGAGAAGTTGGCACAGCTTAGGTTCAGAGAGTGGGGACACTTAGTACAAAGATGTTAACGTGGAATGTGATAGACTTGTGTGGGGATGGGGTCAGACCACAAAATTCACTGCCTGCTGACATCCCCAGACTCACACTTCAGACTCAGTGAAAATCTTGGAAGAACAAAAATGAAAACATTGTGAAAGCTAACATGTATTTTCAAAGGAGCTATTTTGGATTTGTGCAGTATGTTTGAGTGTGTAATTTATTGGACTGTTCTTTTGCAGAGATATTGAGTATAAGGAACTTCAATTGTCACTGGACCAGGTTACCATTTCTAAGTCACAGTTTTCATGCAGAAACTCAGTATCTACCTCGCAGGAAACAAGGAAAATAGTAAAACCCAAAAGTAATAAAATGAAGGCAAAACTCAGAACAACGCCTTACCCACAGCAGGTAACTTTTTCAGCAATATTTACTAAACAATTATTGTTGTAGAGTGCTTGGGACAGGATAGAGACCATCCAGAACTGAACTTATTGTAAAACTGGCTATAGTATGTTCTGCTGCAGGAGCTCCCTTATAGACTGGAATACAATTAGACCTTCTTGTCCTTGGGGTGGACAGCATAAGTTGTACAAACTAACTCTGGCAAGTGATGCAAACACAAGAACTTTTGGACATGGAGTATGTAAAGTACTTCAAAACCAATATGTTTTCTTGGTAAAAAGAAGAAAAACACGTACTAAGAATAACTGTTGTGAAAATTTGTACTAGAGCAGAATGCGTCACATTCACTGTTGATAGGCAGAGTCTTTAATGTCACGTAGGTATTAGCAGTTTCCTTATGTTGGAGAATGCGTCATAAGAATGGATCCTAGCAAACAAAGCATTGGAGTGGGATTTGGAATAGCTCTCACTGTCACTGGGTGAGCTAGAACCAGACATGAAAGGAAACTACGGAGATTGTCCATAGAACTGAGTCAGTGAGGCTGACACCCACTGTGAGACATTCTGAGACTTTGCAATGAATATTGCTGGAAGGGGCTGCTATTAAAACAGCAGTGAATACAGCTAGCACAGATGCTGCATTCGAAACAGCGAGAGGCCAAAAAGAATTTGGAACCTGGAGAGGAGAGTGGGAGAGAGTGGGAAGAGAAAATCATTGTGATAGAAGCTGAAGCAAAGGACAGATCTTGTCTTCTTACTGTTCTAAAGCTTGACATGCCAACATATGCAAAATCACATTCATGGTCTGCTACTACAGTGATCAGTGACTTCCAGTGCTTTGCAACAGACTTCTGCCCTCTGGTATTTACAGCTGCCTACAAGTACTAGCTAAAATCCAACTGGCAAAATTATCCAATAAACCCTTAACATTACGATGACAAAATAGTTTTTTGTTCCCATGTTAAGCGAAGGTAAAGAGATCATGAAGACAAGCAACTTTAAATGCACTGGTAAGCCAGTCCCTTTAGCCAGTGAGATCGCAGCTCAAGGAGGCCCAGCTCTGGGCGCCTGTATGATAAGTTATGCGGTTTCATATAAAAGTTAGTCATTTAACTCTCTTCCCCTCCCTTTTTTTTTTTCTTTCCCCCAGCAATACAGCTCATTCCAAACAGACAAACTGGAATGCAGCCAGGTGGGAAACTGGCGATCCAGCCCTGCAGTGAACGCTGCCACCATTCAAGAACAAAACTTCCATTCAGAAAACAGTGAACTTTTATATGCCCCGTCATATAGCTTGCCTTTCTCCTACCATTATGGACACTTCCCTGTAGATTCTCATGTCTTCAGTAGCAAAAAGCAAATGCTGCCTTCAAAGTTTGGGCAGTCTCAAGGAGCACCTTGTGAAGTGGCTCGATTTTTCTTGAGTACGCTGCAGACAAACGGAGAATGCCAGTGGCATTATGCTAACTCCTTGGTACCCAACAGCCAGTCACCATCCAAAAATCTTCCCGATCAGCCAGTGAACATCATCCGACATAATCTTGCACAGAGTTACGAAGGTGGGTGTCACTTTAAAAAAAGAAAAAAAGAAAAGCAAATCTGTGGGGTGTCTGGGAAAGATTTGTAATTGCCATTTGAAAACAGGAATTACAAGGTGTTTAAGAAACACAGAAAATAAGAAACAGTGACGTGTAACAACCACTATATTCATAGCATTTACGTGTTCACCCCTCTTCCCACTACCATCGGCACTTGATTAGGAATATTATCAAAGCATCAGTTGCAAAAATGTATTCACCAGAGTCACTTTTAGAACAGGGTAGAGATACCATCTCCTTTAATACTGGCATGGTTTACCTTCATGTTTTGTACTGTATCAGAGGTATTTAGTGGCATTGCTCAGGTAAGTCATTGCTGAAGTCAGAAACAAATGTACTTCAGCTCAGAAATTAAAATAAATGTGATCTATCTCCATAAAAACTGAAGGTTGTCCTTTCTGAGTATGAAGCCATTCTGAATGCTTTACTTTACAGCTACTACAGTGAATGAGTAAACGAAATGCACTGTCTTCTGCTTTATCTGAAAATGTCTTCAGTGCTCCTCCCCGATCAACTGCATTATCTCTCTATACAGATGGTCGGCTCAAATACTTTGAAGGAAGCACTGAAGACATTGACTTCTCTGAGGTGGCAATCTCTAAGAAATAACATTGCAAAGTTGTAAAGTAACTAAATGTAAACAAGATACAAGATACACTAATCCTTAGATCTCACGTACATGACGTCTATCTCATACACCATTTTGACTAGTTAAAAATTGCTGATGAGGACTGCCTGGTTGACCTACTGCTATAAAGTTAGATGGAAATGCTCTTTTATTCCAGCTTCATTGAGGATGGGATGGAGGAATCAGTAGTGGAAATTCAAAATAAAAAATCTAGAAAAGATAGGCTCAAGATTCTCGAGCACCAGAAACAAGCATTTATTCATTTAGGGACGTGACATTAGACATCCTAGATTTGAAGGGAACAGCTGCAGATGTTAAAAGCTGAGCTTGCTACATCAGACTGAAGATGGTATCAGACATTGCCAGAAAAGCCCAGTGAGCATAGCAGCAGACAAGCAATTTACCATCGGTCAGTTGACACGGGCAGATAACTCCTAGTAAATATATTAAGTCAGAAGGACTCCACAGGAATACTGTTAAATACGTTAGGACAAAAAAAAAAATCCCAACAAAAAACCTGCAAGCAACTGCTGGTATTTTTCAATTTCATCATGCATGCATACCTTCACCATTTCCTCATGAACAGGTAAATGGAGCTGTGACACCAGCAGGTCTTACTTCTGGTTCTACTTCTACTCGAGATTTTGTTGTTTAAATTGGAATATGTGGGTTCTCTTCTGTGCACAGATGTATTTTAATAGATGTTTAGCTATTGGGCATTTGATGAAAACTGACTCGGTACAATGAATTCTCTGCAAAAGCCCTTAGAATTGTACTGTTTAGGAAGGAAAAAAAGAATATGGTCAAACTCAGACCTGGTCAGAGATCATTGCTTGAATTCACACACACTGTTGTAAGAGGGGAAAGAAAAATGGAGCCTCCACTGCAAAGAGGATTTACATCTATTTGTTGCAGAGTTTGTTTCCCCCTGAGTTAGAATTAGCCCTGCTGTACTTTTGCTGAGGCTGGTGGCAGAAGAGAAATCGAAACCTTTGGAAGCGACTTTTTGCTTTGAATTGAAAGGGGTGTCTGATCTTCCTTACATTGTCAACTGCTGCTTTTTCCAGCAGTTCACTGAAAAACTGACAGCCAGTAAGCTTCAAAGCAGAGAGAATCTGCTTAGCGTCGTTATCTTCAATCCAAAGGCAATGCCAAATATGACATCTGGCAACCGGGTTGGATGTAAGGGCTATTCCACATCACATCCATAGAAGCATCTGCCAAAAATGCCGTAGGCCAGAAACATTTTCTCTATGGAAAATAGCTTCTTTTGGAGAGATCAGAGATTTTAAGATGATCATGCCAAGCCATCAAAGCTCTGGAAAAGCACGTAGCAGATAAAACTGCCCGCCAATCAGATGCTGCTGCCTCAGAATCTGGTTTTGAAGCTTCTTACACTTTTTTCCAGCTGGCCTAGTCATCAGAAAAGAAACTCACTTCAGAGGAGGCAACCATATTCTTAGCCAGGGAAGTTTCCTTTGTACACTTGAAGGGACACATTGCTACTGTGGGTACCACAGTATCCACTTCTCATTAAGTTATGCTGTTGGCCAGTCTGTACTATCTGTGTGAAGCTTAGTGTCACTAATCACGCCAAAACCCAGGAAAGCGTGACCTGAGCAGTACAGCAGCTCTGCTTGTGGGTCTTCAGAAAACCTCAGAGTGACTGAGTAACTGTTCCTCTTCACCGAAGGCCCTCTTGTACAAATGATTAGGAAACACACTGAAACATCATGGGCTACATGTCGACATTCAAATGTTGGCATATCATCTTGTCAAAACATACAGTAACTGTTAGGAGTACGCTCTTCTGAGACTAGTGTAGATCAGAAAGCCCAAGAAAAATTATGCAAGACAAAGCATGGATGAAGAGGGCTTCAGCTGTGTCTAAAAACAAAGTTTTTTCACAGACAGGATGCAAAACTCTGCTGATAAGGACTGCGTACCTTTTGCATGAAGATCAGTGCTGAGTACCCGTCTTTCTTTGCTTTAACCTGGTTCCAAGATGCCTTTCTTTCATTTTTACTGACATAGATGGGGCAATGACCGAATAAGGAGCAGCTCTACCTAATAATGTCTTGGTACAAAAAGGCATGTCTGTGAATGAAATACCTTTTCTGCAAGTATCTTTCCCCTTTGAGCATCATCTGGTCTTTGACTGCACTATTTAAAGGTGAGGAGGGAATGCTCCTCGCTGCAGCACTATGTTTGACAGAGGAAAGATCGCTCTAGTATACTGTAACTATGACTAGACATGATCTGTTTTAAACAAAGACCACTACCTGCTAAAGTAGCCTTCCTGTTCCCACTTGGATGGTTGGATGCTGAAAACTGCAGGTGATGGGGCTCTTATTGCCAGGTTTTCCCCCAACTTGCCAGAGCTGCACCCTGTGTGCCAGCAGGAAAGCAGAGGTACTTGGCAAGAACTGATGTGATGACTGCAGGACCGAGCTCACTGTTGCAGCTGTAGGCTGCCATGAGTGGAGGCAGTGTAAGTATAAAGGGTCTTCTAGGAAGCTGCTGTCAGTCTGGTATGATGCACAACCTTAGACGTGCGGTGTATCTACCTCACTCGGCAGGGCTGAGTTGCTCTGGCAGAAGAGTGGTCTGGAAAGCATCCCAAATTAATGTACTGACTTCAACGACTGTAAAGCGTTTTCAGTGCTGGAGAAGCGCAGAACACATGGGACCCCCGTGCACCTGCTGAGGCAGGTACGCTGGCAACTGCCCACAGGCGGGGGGGAAGCAATCCTTCCACAGTGATACAAAGCAGCCGGTCAGCTTTCTACTAAGTTCTGTATGAAAAACTCCCCAGGAGGGGTCTGTCCTCGGGCATCCTTGGGTTTTTGTCTGCAAAGGAAGACAAAAGCAGATTTAAGACTAGCTCCAGCAACTTCTGAATGTGAGCAGACAAAAACGACTGTGCTCTGTTGCAGCTCAGACATGACTTGCTTAACTGTCTGGTCTAACTCCATGAACGTGCTGACAACTTTAATGGAAGCCTGCAAACAATTAACCAGACGCTTACCTTCTTCCTCAAAAAAAGAGAGGAAAACCACGTTTGAGAAACAGGATAGAACAAAATGGATAATATCCTGTAAATCTCCCAAGTATGCGAATTACTCCTTGGTACCAAGAAGGCAGCCATCAGCCCAGCAGAATTTGAGATTACAAAAATGAAGATAAGAAGACAGGGAGCAACTGGTTGCTGTGGTGCTTCAGCTTCTGACAAGTGTGGGCTCTAAAACCCAAAAAGGACAGTCTTTTTTTCAGAGATTAGGGTATAGCCATAAAGTAACAACACTCCATGCTGCAGTAAAAGTACAAACCCATCACTCCTATGGGTGTCTCAAGTGGGAAAACCACTAAAACCAGTACAGCAGATTAGTTAAACCATATTAGTTTTATGTCAGTAGCTCTCAGCATGTATACTTATTTCACAGTAAAAATGCCAAACGTGGAGTTAAAATTACAGTAGCATAATTACACTGGTAAATTTTCCAAGTTATACTCAGGCATGTGGCTGAATCCCTGTTCTGATTTGTGATCTAAGAGGGCCATTTTTCATCAGCTGATGAGAATTCGGTTTCCTTAGGACTGCATACACTTCTTGGTACAAAATATATACATGGAAATTAAAAAGAATAGCTGGAAAGGTGGTTGTTTCTAGGAGGGTGGTGGGTTGGTCAAGATGAAATTGGATCCAGATTCCTGTTTAAATTCTGGTGTTAATTATGTGGTGCAACTCCCTCTGAAATTAATGAAGCTCTGTATATAAAAAAAAAAGGTACAATTGAGCTATTTCTGCTTCCTCTGTTATACATGGAGGCTTTGCCAGTCTACTGCAGCACAGGGAATATTTAATTATTAGCAGGTACAGTTACGTCAGCAACCGCTACAGGGGAACTCCAAAACTTTTAAGATGTTGAATAAATTTTTTAGAAAAACAGAAAATCCCTTTTACAAAAGGCATTTAGGTGCCCAGGGCTTTCAGTGAGCATAACACAAAATAGAGTTTAGGTTTAATTTGAGAAATTTGCTAAGTGCCTCATTTAACCTTTAACATGAAACCTTCAAATGTGCCTTGGAGGAGTAGTATAACTGCCAAACTGTTCATACAAGACAGGGCAAAAAAATTAGTACTCACCTAATTTTAGCCATACTGTATAGGAGTAAGCCAGTGGCTTTTTCTCCTATCATTTGTAGATGAGAGCGTACAAAAAGGAAAAGCTGTGTAAGCCAAGCAGAAAATGATAAAACCAACTCAAATTGTTTCAAGAGTTCAGCTACCGTGCAGAAACTTAAGAGAAAACTAAGAGCACTCAATATATTCTAGAGGAAAAGGCTGAAGAGAAATCCTAGGCTCATACTCTCTTGAAAATTTAAGAATCTCTCTTCTGATTTTCCATGCATTCTCAGTTTAGCACTCCCACATTCAAATGTTCCCAGTGTATGCTGTAAATTGCACTTATATTACACATTCAACTTCATTACATGCTTCCTTAAAAGCAGAGACACAGCATTACTCAAGAAGTATTTATGTTGCTTTTCAATAGATGTTTTTAATATCTGATGCTAGTTTTTCAAAGAGAAAAAGCAAAGCCTTTAATGTGACATAATCTAGCTATTACGTACATCACAAACAGAGAACACAAATCAGATACTAACACGTCAGTACCTAGTAATACACACTGTTCTTTCCTTACAAGAGCAGGTGTCCAATACACTTCCACAGTGACAAGAAGAATAGTTTACCCTGTTTTACCCTGATCATTGAATCTTTGACACGTAACAAAAGTTATCCATCCTTTGGTAAACTGATAAATCTCTGAAAAGAGCTTATTTAAGGTCAAGGTTTTTAATAGCAGGTCACATTTCCAAACATTTATTTCGTTTAATTTCTGTGATTGAACAATATTAATAATGACAGTGATTTACAATTATTCAGTCAAAACACCAGGCATTTCATGTGGAAAACCTTTTCAGAATTGTTCAACACCGTTGGCCCTTCTGAATGGGTTGGAGGGTTTTTTTTTAACTTTTCAGCACTGTCTTAAAGAGACTTACCCAAAGCCACAGAGGGAAATGCGAACGTCTCTGATGTCTCCACTGGGACTCGGATCTGTCCCAAACCAAATGAGTATTAAAGTTCAGCCATAAAAAGTGTTAGAGTCTAACTGTTACAGGAGCTCATTGTCAGTAATTAACATGTTTTCTCTTTCCTGCAAGTGCCCATACCAAACAGAAGATACAGCCAGGACGCTCTATCTGACAGCTTTACAAGCTGCACAGCACCCGTGCCAGGCAGCCGATACAAAGAAGAGATTTATGATTCCGGCATCACGAAACCCAACAAAATAGAAGCGAGGATTCAGCCACCTCACCACCTCATTAAAGAAGAAAACAAGTTAGCTTTTAACAGAGACCTACAAGAAAAAATGAGCATTAATGAAAGTTCTTTTTCAAACTCAATAGCTAACTCGTTGCTGCCCAAATCAGAATGTTTCCAGTCTAAAGCTATAGGACAGTTAAGTCATCTCCTGCCAATGCCCTCAGTATATGAGCAAACAAGAAGGATTTGTATGAAAGAACCCAAATATGGGCATATTAGTCACCACGATACAAATCTAGCTGAACTGGACAGTGATGAGAGAATGACTGTAAAGCTTGATCATGGCTCTGAAAATGAACGCGTGATGGACGTGAGACCCTCTGGACAAGTTCCATTTGTGCTTCTAAATTATCACCATGTTTTAGCCAAACATGGAACATTTCAAACTTCATCGTGTACAGCGACAGGACACGTAGGAGAAAATTATGGATACAATTCCGAGGAAGTAAATACATTTATTTACAAAAACCAAAGCCCCTCATCAGCTTCTTCTCCAGAAACCCACAAGGAATCTGCACTACCCCACTATATTGGAACTTCTGTAATAATAGCCAATGGAAGGTGACGTTAATAGAGGAGTAGTTACATTTAATTAAGACATCAAACGGTAATGATTTGCAAAAAGCATGAGAAAACATGGTTACATTTACTGAGCATAGCTGAAGGTCAATGAGGGACAGACTCGTGTGTTCCTGGCAAGCCATGTGCAATGGTACCTTCAAGGTCAGGAAAAAACCCTACATCTAGCTTCCGTGCTTCGTTGTCACAGATTAAGCTCTGGTGCCAGTGAGAAGACATGTCACAGATCTTATTTTTGTTATTTTATAGTGTGCAACAAAATGAAATGATAGGTGTTATATGCAGAGATTTATATGAAGAACGTCTTTTTCCTTAACCCCTCCTTCTCAAAATACATTCAAGATTTTTTTTTTATCATTATCATAAACTATACACTCTAGTTTAGGTATTTTGACAAACTGCGTGAAACCTTACATCATCTCTCCACCCATGCGTTAAGCACCCTGACAAATGAACTTTGTTTAAAGAGTGGTGATTTTTAGTATCCGTAATACAGCTGTACTAACTAAACAGAACCCAGTTTGGAAAAAGCTTATTTATTCATTATCCAGAAGTTTTTCAACTAAATAAATCAAATCTAACTTTGATTTATTTGACATAGATTTCAGTGTTCTGAGACTGCTACCACCACCATTTATCTTGACAAGGAACAATACGACAAATTAATACGTACAAAGATACATATTAAAGGGTTACAGGTCTTGTCATGGCAAATTGGGACAAATCACATAGCAGGAACTAAAGGTGATTCCCCATAATATGCTGCAATAGCAAAAAGAAACTTTTAAAACATGTGTTTCAGTGAGTATTCCGGGAGAAGGCTGTGCACATTTTCAAAACAGCTAGTCAAAAATACATCTTAATAATAGCACAAGAAATGTTTTCTTTATAGTCAAGGGAATAATGAACATTTATGCTTTATTTTAAACTTACCAGTAGACTTCTGAAGTTCAGCTTTTAACATATTGAACTTCCTTAAGCATAAATCTCATTGTCAACACAAAGGTAAGATTAATATCTGACTGATTCGTGCACTTCACAAATAACGCCAGTGGACAAGCCCAATGTGGAAAGTCAAAAGTTGCTGCACGACCACAAACCCCAAAGTTGCGCTTGAAGCAAAGCAGAGTCCGAGGCCATCGGGGCTTGGAGGGGCACACTTAGCGCACATCTCCGTCTGCGCTCACAAACTGCAGCAAGCAAAACGCGTACAGCCCGCAGCCACGCTTCGTCCAGCCTACGGGGAATGGGTTTCCCCCCCTTTTTGCTTCTTTGTAACGTTTACAAACAGGAGACGCGCGGACCCGTGCGTGTTTAACTAACAGCCAGCCCACTTGGTTTGTCAACCGCTTCCCCAAACACCGTGTGCCCTTGATAAAACAAGGAACGCCTCCCTGAACAATGGCTGCAAACACCAGCACCGCAGGTTGCTGTAGATCCACGTCAGCCACACTTCGCTGTATCTCCTAGCCCAATCCAAGGCTAATTTACACCTTAAAAACCTTTCTCTCTCTTATCAGACTCTCTCTAAAGAGACCTGTGCTGAAGAAAATGCTTACCTGGCTTGTGCAGTACGGAACAACACTTGCTCACAGATTGCACGTTGTCAGATAGAAAAGTAATGAAGTACACACTCCTAAACATGTTCTCCCATCTTTTATACGCAGCAATGATATTCAGTCACCTCCTTGTATATGTGAATAGTCATTGCTATGAGTACACAAAAATAACTTTCAGAACATGTTTGAAAACAATTTTCAGTATTTTTGTTGCTTCCTATTAAAAAGTTAAGAGAGAAGGCTCCATTATGAAGTCAAATTGATGCTCACTTTGGAAGCCCACAGTTGTCTTTTTCATTTGCTAAAAAAGCGTGAAAAATATCTTACATGATAAACATAACTAAAACCACCTTCTCAGCCACTACCAGAATACTGACTTAAAAACCCCAAGCACAGTCAAACCAGCATGTTCGTTCACTCAGTATCACTGCGCCCCTTGGTTTGTCTAACACCAGACAAGTCAGCAAGCCTGCAGAAAGGTCATCAGTGAGCATCACTGTCCTTCTGATGCCATAAATTGAAGCCATGAGACACAAGTTGGTTTTACAGTGGCTTTGGTCAACAGGTCTCCCAGCCAGTGTTACTAATAAACGGGCCCAGCTCCTCTAAAGATACAATTCTGCTAAGACTCGTGTGTTAATTTTGTTAAATTAAACCCGTGCCCTATAAAGGAGCAACTGACGTTGTTTGCATCATTAAAAAGAAACCTGATGCACAACCCTCACACCACACTTTCCTCCGTACCTCATTAGTGGCGTTGCTGCGCACAAAGTCCATCTGGCGTATTTTTTCTGCTCTTGTAAGTACTTCTCACTATAAAAACATGTTTTCGGGAATGTACAAATTAGGCTTCGGTTAAAAAAATGCCATTGATATTTTTCAGTAAAAGACCACAAAATATTTTTCCAGCGTCTACCTTGTTATTCACACTTCCAGGCTTTATTCAGTGAGCCTGAGCAGAGGAGGTGTTCCATCATTCTCCCACAGATGTTTTACAGGATGTGATATTCAGGTACGTGAACTTTCCCTGTCAGGCAATAACGAATCAATTCTGCATCCACGTATGATAATACAGGGTAGGCTCAGAAACTACCCCTGATTAAAAAAGCAAATGTGTGAAACGCTTTTCCTGCCATTCCAAAATAGCAACAGCAATTGCATGTTCACATCTGGAACGTGACTGAATTATACCGAGAGAAAAATATGACTTTTAGTCAGTTAAATTAAGTCAGTTAAACTGTGGTTCTGTGAAACACAGATGTCCGCAGCACACGCGTCCTGCAGGACGTGGCACAGCCATTGACAGTGGCGACGGTTTTAATAATTGGAAAAAATTATGTCACAGAAATGGAGTGTGAATTGGAATATATTATGAAAAATAACCTCATTTCTCTCTACTGTACTTGTCTGAGCCACTACAGATACCTTTGCCGTGCGACTTGACAGGATTTTAACTCTTATGGGAGCTCAGACTGAGCAAGTGAATGATGTGGAGAGTGAGAGAGGGGATATTTTACCAAAATGTAAAGTTGGAAATGTTAATCCCACACCAAGGTCTCAAAGTTTCTTTCCTATTAATAACAGAAACACCGCAACGTAAATAAAGTGATAAGGGAATAGACACCTCTCCAGGTCGCAGCAGTCCTGTAAGCTGAACGAGGGTATTGAAGTAATTTAATGAAATTAAGCACATTGGACAGTAAGGGTAAGATTGGAGAATGTATCGCTGAGACAAAATGCAAGTGAATGGGAAACCTGCCAGAATACCTGTATTTCTCTAAAAAAATCACAAAATACGACAAGTATTTTTTTCAACATTTCAGTCATGCTTCAAAAACAACACAGAGAAAATGTTATTATTCAATTTTTCCCCTGAACATTAGATTTTGCTTTTTTTATATGATGCAGATAAAAGCTATTTGGCAAATGTAGGTGAAAAAGCACGCAAACCAAACAACCTATTAGTGCTCAGAATTATATATGTATTCCCTCAAAATGTAAAGCATTTTTGCTTATTTATTATGTAAAACAAAACTGTTAAAATGTTAATAAAATCCTGTAGCCAAAGAAAAAAGTGAGCTGGATTTCTTTTTTTACTACAAAACACAGGATTTCACAGAGAATAACGTTGCATATTTGAAAATTTATTTTCATTGTAATATATTTGACAGTTAATGTACTATAAAATACAAGGATTTTTTAAAAATTTATTGTATTTTAGCCATGTTGCATTTTAAAGGGAGACTCTTGGAGAACTGGAAATAACACAGAATCACTAATGAATCGCGCGAATGCAAGACGCTCGCACACGACATCAGTTTACAATTCCTCCCTGCAGTTCTTTTTTCTCAGCTGTGTGTTACACGACCGCAGCCTGCGGCACGCCAGCAGTTTTTGACCTCTGTTCTTTCCTCAGTCCAGATTTAATTTCTTTGGTGTCTGATCAGTGCGGTGCGGCACTGCAGTAACTTACGCATGCAAATGCTTTCATCAAACCAGTTACCCCCAGGAATCAGCTCTTGGCGGCACAAACCTCCTTCATGACAGGTATTAAGCTGTACTTCAATTTATTTTTTTCTATAGAGCTACTGTGTATTCCAAAGTAGCGGCAGAGAGTATTTTTTTTAGACTGCTGATGCCTTGTAGCTGAATCAGAAAAAGTAAAGAAATAAAAAAAATTGTTGTACAACGAAGCAGCAGCAACAAATTAAATGCTTTAATATTATTTCTAGGTAATAGCCCTTGAAGTAGACTGTATTTGTTGGATAGATTTAAAAAAAATGCTCTGAAGTCTTATAAAACCTTTTACTAGAAGTGAGATGTACTGCTCGAACTCTTAAACGGCAAGTACATTATTACTTTTTCAAATCTTTGGAAACAGCATTGGTGCCGACTGGACACAACCCATTTACTCCTCCTGAACGCAGACACGTGCCAATGCCCCCAGCCTGCTCGGCAGAAGTTTTCCTATCAATAAACAATCTCTACAAATATTTTCACAATGTGTAATGAGAAATGGTACAACGGAGTCCTGGAGGAAAAAAATGAAGTCACAGAAATATAGACACTGTAATAAACGTTTTTAGAAAGCACTTCATCAAGAAAATAGTTTAAGATATGACATCAGCCTTACAATGAAAGAGGTGTTTTACTAATCGAGACAGTTGAATGAAACAAAACATTACCTCTGGATCTGGAGTTGTCTCATTCTCTCCGTACCAGGGAGAGTCTCCCGAGACACTCTACACCACATCTGTCTGCCCTACATAAGGAACAATAACAACAACGATTTTCATACAAAAATGTTGTGGCTTTCTGGGTGTGCCAAGCCGGGCACAAACAGAGTACGGCTGCTGGCTGCGCCCCCCACCTGCCTTCAGGTGAGGGTGGGGCAGGAGGTTCGCGGGCGTTCTCGACGGGAACGGCG